TTGAGTTCTAGAGTTGAGACATCAAAAGACATATTACAATATGAATCCAATGAGATACCTGTCTGTTGCAAGGCAGGGTCTAGGAACATCAAGGGTGGAATTTCATGGGTACGTAATGCATGGGTTTGTTTTTTTCTATACTACATTTTGACCTTTCATTTTTATGAATAGACGGCATTACCCAATTTCTCTTGATGTTTTCGGAGGTTGAGATCTTGTTTTTGTAGAAAATTTAAAATCCCTGTTCAAAAGAAAAATCCCATGGAGGGTATTTCTTGGACCGGGGTGCGTACCTTGCCAAAGCACCCATGATGCGGAAAGCGCCCACCGAACCCACCCCCATCGAGATTTGGTATTTGGGGGCCGTCAGCCTGCCGGCACAATCCAGTATCCAGTGAGCTCCGTCCCACCCGGCTGGATCACCCCCCCCCCCCAGGGATCAAGCTGACTGCAGCGGATGTACACGTCGGCATTGCTGTGGCACAGGCAACGACACTGGCTTGCAATAGTTGCAATGGCAGTGAAATGACCTTGCGCCAGGTCATTGGCATCAGGAAGGCACACGGCACAAGAGGGGCAAAGTCACTCCTGCCCTCGCACCGAGCTATGCGGTGCAAGTTGATGTCGTCGGGAGCGGCTTTGAGCCTCGCATTTCCTGTTTCCTGTTTCCTGTTTCCTGAAGGAGCCTGCAGACGGGAATCGGAACACGCTCTGCTACCGACAGCTAACTTGCGCCGCAACGCACGTCGCCGAGCGCCCTGAGCTCAGTGATCGCGTGGTGCCTGTGTCTCCCAAGTCACAATGCCATGCGAACAAGCCGCACCACGCCTCACCCCCTTTCCTCTCCCTCTTCCTTTCCACGAGAAAAATGGCAATCAACAGCCTACCATTGAGTGTTCGAGCCGCCTCGCTGGCCGCCCTACGAGAAGACTCAGACAACCTCAGCGCCAACCCCCCTTGAAGCCTGCAGCCCACGTCTCGTGTCCATGCAGGCAACGCGAATTTTCTACCCAGTACCTTGAGAAAGGATGGACATGTCTGCGCCCCAGAAGGAAAAACAAAATAAGCCAAGACCAGACATGGGCAGTACATTAGTACGGTACCGTCGATGTGGACATCCAAGCTCCATGCTGCAGCCACAGTATCGTTGCTTTTCGCGTCCCTGCACTCCGGCCGGTCAAGGTCAGGGATAGGGATTGTGGCGCAACGATACATTTTCTGGTGGTCGATGCAACTCTCGTCCCTCCCTCCCCCTTGGACCCCGACCCTAGCCGCGCCGGCATCGACCGGGAGCATATTCTGCCATCCGTGGACTTGGTGGTCAAGTTACTTCCTGCTCGTAAGTAATGCAGATCACCCAGATCACCCGCCATTCACGATATAGCATCTCTCCTATGGGCCAGGATGACCGACCACTGCCTCGTCCGGCAAGCGAGCTCGACACCGGTCGAGACGGCCAAGGCGAGAGACAACATCAACTGCGCGTATGCTCCGAGTCTGAGACATGCAGATATCCCCGTCCCTACCCAGGTGCTTCACCAGGAGCCTGCAAGAGACAGACGCCATTGATTCATGCTTTGGATGCGGAATCCCGCCAACAAGGCGAATGTGCCTCAATCTAGCGCCCCCCCTTGCTAGGTACCTAACTATGCGTGCGAGTGGGCGTGCGTGACAATTCAGGGGACGTCTCCCTCCTGCATTTGAGTGGCGTCTGTCTAGGCAGAGGAGAGTCGTGCATGGCTGCGATAGAGGGTATGCGGTGGTCTGTCGGAATAATTCAGACGACTGCTCACGGCGAAGGAGTGACGAGTCGCTCGACACCGCGTCTCCGTCTCCAGACTGCCGCAGAAGCCCTGGTCGATGTCGGGACCAACGCTGTTTTGCAAAGGCAGCCGGGAGTCTGAGCACTCCAAGGCCGCTCGGACAGTGCTGTCGCTGTGCACTTGTTCGCTGTCGTCGAAAATGTGACGTGTAAGAGAGAGACACACACACGCACAAGGGTGGGAGAGGACTCCAAAGCTGCAGAGCATCGATATCGAGCTCCTTATTGGACGGTTTACTTGGTTCGGACGGTTTTCGCTTGGCCCTGTCCGTCCGTACATCTCGTTGCTACCCCTTCTGCTCGACTTCCAGGTATATTGCTGCGCGGTTTGCGTTCCGCTCGCTCCTCGGCGAGTCCCAGGCACACAGGGTGCTCCGGGGGGACCTGACATCCGTATCCCAACTCATGAAGATCTGAATAATTCCAAGGGGTCCGACTTGGCGAAGACCTTCGTCATCTCCAAGAGCCCACCCCATGTTCAAGCCGACATTGGTGATCTCACATGGACGAGCGAATGGGCTGGCAGACAGCGACTTGCTCCACGCAGATCCGTGGGCTTGACGATCGACAGGGCCCTGGCCCGCCAAGTAGCTGGTGGCAGTGGTTGGGGGCCGTTTACCCTTGCCCTCAGCTTGCATCAGTACGATGCGCCAAACCCTTCTGGGAGAAGTGCAGACCAGCGACTCCCCACGGCTCAAATTCAACGAAGCGCATAACGCCCCGGGCAATCTCCCGCGGTGCCTAACGACACACACTGGCAGCCACCAGCAGAACCTTGCGCCTTGACCCGTTCTGTTCAGACGTTTTGTGAAAGAAGTGGGCCACCCAATCGCTCTGGTGTACATAGTATGTACATGTATGATGAGGCCTCATGTATGATGTGTTGCCAGAGGGCAGGGTCAAGCTGCACAGGTAAAACATAGCCATTCACGAGCCTCCATCGAAGGCTGCGGGTTATCAGCATGGCCAATATCGCCCCGTCTGGCTGAAGAGAGGCCAATTCACTTGGTCGCTTTTCTCCAAGTAACAGACACCAGTCAACAACGAAGCAGAGGTAAGCGCCCTGGTACCGGCCTGAGCCGCTCGCAGGATGCTATTCTGTATCTTGATTACCGTTGCTGGTGATTCCTCGATCAACCAATCAACAGGCTCCACTCACGAGGGACTACATTACTTACTACAGCTACAGTACCATGATCAGTCAGGCCATGAGCACAGGCGACACCGAGGCCAAATGGAGAATTCCGTCGCCAGGTGCCGCAGGCTTGTGGCCTCCTCACTGGGTGCAATGAAAGCTTATGCACCCAAGAACGAGACAGGCAGGCAGGTAGCATCGTGGTCTGGCCCCAGGCTGTTTCGACGATAGCAGCAAGGCCCTTCGGTCCCGAACCGTGACGCCCCCGCCTGCTGGTCTCCTGCACTAGTCGCGAGTCGGGCAAGCCTGTCGAGAAAAACGATCCGGCACATCAATGGCGACGATGTCCCTCGTGGCAATGCCCCGGGCTCCTGGGCTCGTAGGCCCCGCGGAAGTGGCGGACTCTGGCCCGTGTCACATCGACTGCTCTGGGCCATCAGTGACGATGGCGACGGCGGCTCGCTAAAGGAGTGGCCCGACAGCGCCGTTCCGGCGTAGCTCCATCCATCTATTGCTTGTTTTTGTTTGTGGGAGATGGCAAGTGGTGGGGGATGCCCAGGTAGGTATGGCCGTTTCCTCTGGGGTCGGCCACTACGAGTGAGTCGACTGAGTGTTCTGGACTGGGCCATGGCCAGGGTGCTTCTTCCCGCCCCGGTTCACCCACCTACTCTCCATGGCCCCCTCCTCACACCACCCCCCTGTCCCCCTTTGTCGTTCCCAAGTCCCCCCCATCCATGCTGTATCGGGCCCCTTGACTGGAGACTCTCGTTTACTATTGCTGTTTTCAGATGGCACCCATGCCTGAGCGTCATGAGACAAGGTTTGCCATGTGAGATCGACGGAATCCAGAGGAATGGGACCGCCACAACGCCAAATCGAGCTTGACAGCCTAGCCGGCACCTCGAGGCGATCTGGCCGTCGAGTGCCTCTACCAACGGGTGTGGAGTCGAGGCTTGGTCCGTGGACAATCTCTGCCTTGGATGGGCTTCACATCAGTAAATGCGACAGGACCATTTCTTCCCAATTTGAGGATGACCGACCGATCGTCGATTGGCGCATCATGGAATATATCGAATGACGGCTGGCAGTGTTGTCGCTGCCTCCGTCGAACATTATGAGTGGCTGGCGTCTCGCCATGTGCAGTCTCCCACATAGCGTGACATTGATTTCTCTCGAGCTGTGTCGTGGTCGCTCACCAATGTCGGGCACCTCATGCAGGAGAAGCGCGAAAAAGGACATGAAGCACAGTACTGCACTGCACCGGGGCTGGGCTTCACTGGATCAGGATGGCGGACCGCTGCCTGAGTGGCCCCCGCCCCATCTCACGATGGCCTCCCGAAAAGGAGTCGGCGAGGCCGCTCTTGGCAACCTTATTGGACGTAGTACGTTGTCGAGTGCTCAACGGCCAATCAGGGGGGGTGCTTGATAGGTATCCAGATCATTCCGGTTGGTGTCTCTTACCCCCTCCCTTCCCTTCATCCCCCAGAGGTCTTGAGGTTAGCAGCAAACCCTCAATGGTACGATAAGAGAGAACGCGGCGTCCCCGCTACTGCCTGTCAGGGCCGCCACGTTAGAAATTGTCTGAGGCACAAGCTTCGGAGGCTTTATCCTGGCGCCGTCTTGACGCTTAGCTTTCGTGTCAGTGGGCTCGAAATCTGACCGGTCTGTCTCGTTTTCTCCCTGGCCGTGGCATGACCACGAGCAGCATGATCGGTTTCCAACGAGAGGGTCGCACGTTGAAAAAGAAAGTCATCGCATAGGAGTAGCCTGATCGAGCTCACCCTGCATCAGGACCACGAGCCTGGGTCCCGGGCACAGTACATGTAGCGTCTTCACCGGGGAGGCGGGGGGGGGGGGGGGGGAACCTTGGTTTCCATTTCTATTGGAGGGATTTGGGAGAGAAGGAAAAATGGGCGCGAGGAAAACACGACACAGACACAAAGAATAGGCGGGCGGGATGGAGACAACGCGGAGGGAAACAAAGAGCAGAGAACCTAAGGGGAAGGACGAGGGATGGACCTAAACACTGGCACACCGAAAAACAAGGATAGCTGACAAGGGGAGCGGCAGAGGACAGACGAGTTGGCTTCATGTGGGCCGCCCGGGGGCCTCGAGGCGAACCTGGTTCTAGCTTTGACTCGCCCAACAACCATGGCAAACTGTGACATACCCTGGACAACCAGACCCGGAGATCCAGGGTCACCAGCTGACGCTGGATCCGTGCTCAGGCGCAGATCCTTGGCCACGGAAAGCCAGCGCGCGGCATAACAATGCTACCTATTGATACCAGGCATGACGGACGGGACGGGAGGGAGGACGCGAGCGATTACGGAGGCTGCCGTCGACGGCGAATGAGAGAAGAAACTGCGGGGGCGCCTTGGTGGACGGAGCGACGGGAGGACGTGCTTAGCATTCGTTTGGTGCCGGAAACGGTGGAGGGAACAGAGAGTCCTTTGTGCGTTCAAGTCTGCCCACCTAACCTTAGGTACCTAGGTAGGTAGGTAGGTACGACAGCACAGCTCAAGTCTGCCTGCCACAGCACAAGCGTGGGCTCTGGGGCAGGAAGAGGACGGGAAGGTTCAGTCATGAATCTGGTCTGTGGCTGCCTGACACTGCCTCGTCTTTGGGCAGCTTGGGATGCGGCTGCCCGTCTTGAAAGGATCTTGATGATAAAGGTTCCCGCGCCGGGTGCAGGCAGGCTCAGCCCTATGCCAGCTACCACCACAAGGACCATCTGCCTCCCTCTCTCTCTCTCCAATAGACCTCATGCCTGGCACGACCGAACCCAACCAGAATTGGTCCCTCGCCCCCCTCCCCTCTCAGCCCGCATGTCTATTCCAGCCAAGGAACCATGCCGTGCCATCTCGTACGACCACGTCTACGTCTGAAGTGGCTGCAGTCAGGATTGCTGCAGAGTCGAACATGGGTGCCGGATGGAGCAACGACCACCAGTGCCCCGTGTGTGAAGCCTCGACAGATGCAGACAGCAGAAACAGCCCCCCGCTGGCGTTGTGACAGCAAGTCAATTGACTCCTCGCATGCTGCGCTGCCTGGAACATCCCGCTGGCTGCCTGAGCCTCTGGCCTCCGAGCCGGGGCCCTTCGGCCTGGCTCTTCTCGGGACTTGCTTTCAGGACTGTTTTCTGCACAAAGGCGAACTCAAAACCTGGATCCAATCGCCTGCTCTTTTTCATGCTGTTTGCGCAACCATCACGTCTGACGTCAAAACTGGGCGACGCAGCATCATGAATGCTAGTCCTGGCCCAGGACCTAGCATCCTGCGCGTCTGACGTTGGCAACTCCCAAAGGGCTGGGAACGTAGCGTGTCATCTGCAAGTAAGCAACGCATCAGAGATGCTGTCGTTGGCTGATGTGGAAGGCAAGTGAGTGTCTGCAGACCTGGGCATCCCTTTGACCCTTCGTAGGGCTGAGCGCCCGTTCAGGCCGCCAACTTTATTACCACAGGTGCCACTGATCAACACAAAGGCCACCCAGGCCCAACTCGCCCCTTTTCAAAAGCAAGCCACGAGCCCTACAGAACGCCATGACACACCTCCGCTGACACGACCCAACGCCTCGTCCCTTGCCGCCAGCAACCGGCGGTCAATCCCATCAAAGTTGGCCCACCCCCTATCGTTTCACGACAACACGTATATGGCCGTGTGCCTGGTCATCGTTATGCAACTTCCCACCCACTGCCGAATCGCGTATTCATCTCAGCCACCCGGGCTGTAGGAGGACTAGTCGCTGAGGCTGGTAACTCGACACGGGGCTTTGCACCGCCTCGATGTTTTGCTAAGAAAAGATACTCGAGTCCCGCAAGAAGAAGACGACGACCCCCACCCACGCCTGTCATTGATCGATTCGTATACTGACCAATGAGAGGGGGGTGATCTGAGCCCAGAGTCAAATGAGCCACAGCTTTGCCTGTCGGGGCCTTTCGTCTCAAAATGAGAGACCGTAACCGGGATGCACAGGCATCAGACCAGGTGGATCATCCTGGGCCAATCTCATAACTTGCTTTTCGTCTCTATCGTCGAAATTTGCACCAAGGCATCGTGGCACGGTCGTTCCCCAACAACCGAATCGTCACGGTAGGCGACCACAAGTTCACCCTTAGCTTGGACGAGGTGCTGCCACAATTCTGACCCTCATTCAACTGTGGGGTACACAGGTGGAGAATCTACGAGCAAAGGAAAGGCTTTGTCAGATACGGAAATACAATAAGATTGAGGGGGAAACCGTCCCACATGCAGCAGCCCTTACGGGCCTCACAGGTGGCCAGCCAGTATTAGTCTGAAAATGCACTTGGACATGTCAGACGAGGAGCGCTCTTTCGGTCACGGCAGTTACAATGATCAAGACCAAGGTGATACCGCTATACCGCCTTTAGACATGTCACGTCCAGTAGGTCTGCAAGAGACAGTCGTCACGACCATGTGGTCGACTGGTCTGGAACCCAGAGCCAGACAGATCAACTCCTCAGGCACCGCCCGTCCTGGTCGAGACCGTCAAGTGAATCTCCAACGTTCTTTGGTTCTTGAGGGGGCGACAGCGAGACAGGTGGTTTCAGACATTACACTCTCGCCCACCCCAGCCTTGATCACGGAACCAAAAGCAACCATCGAACCTTGGTCCCCACTTATGTCACAAAGCCGGACGATTTCGCCAGCATCGTTCACAAGATCGAGACAAGCGAGGATGCTAACTTAAAACCGACTGGGTCAAGTCAAGCACGGTGCACTTGGGGGTTTGGGTTTGGGTCCAGATGCCTCAGCACTGACGGGGTCAACTCTGATAATGGCCGACCACGAGGGCAATCCGCTTTTACCGTAAGCACAGGCAGCCGAACCAGAATGACCGCCGCTATCATTAGCCTGCAATGCGGAGAGCGAGGAAGGGATGGCATTCGGACTCCGCAACAAGATATTGTGCGAGGCCTGATGCACACGCACAATGAGGAGGCGGGCTGTGGTCTGGTCTGCATCATCTTGTTCAGTCTTGTTCATGATACAGCCTGGTTCAAGCAGAGGACCCTGACCTGACGATGTTGGCTTGGCTTGGCTTGGGAGGGCGTTTGCCCACACGCCTGATTGTGGCTTGCTTTGCAACGGGCGAAGCACAGCACGCAGCACGCTATGCCAGGCACTGGCTGGCGGTGCAGTCATAGGGCTCAATCGCTCCCGATGCCTCTCCAGACAACCTCAAGCCTCCAAGTGTCTAATTACAGCGCACCAAGCACTGCAAGATGCACAACCGCGGTGGGGCAGTGCACCGCCAGATTGTGCCGGAGAAGCTCTGTCAACTTGGTTCATTGGGTCTATAACGAAGTCACGCAGCACCCACTCACTCACTACACATGCACCACACGCAGACAACTTAGGGTGAGTGAAGGGCGCCATTTTAGGGACGGGCACCAAAAT